CACACAATGGAATTATTATTCATTTTGTGTGTGTGTACCTTACCACACTTACACACACAAACACAATGAAATATTATTCAGTCTTTAAAAAGAAGGAAGTCCTATCACCTGTGACAGTATGTATAAACCTGTAGAACATCATGCTAAGTGAAATAAGCCAGGCAAAGAAAGGCAAATACCAAAGGTTCTCAATTGTCAAACTCATATAAACAGTCAAGAAGTCAAATTCACAGAAAGAGTATAATGGTGATTACCAGAGACTGGAGAGTTGAAATGGGGAGATACTGGTCAAATGGTACAAAGTTTCGGTTCTGTGGGATAAATAAGTTTCTGGAGATGTAATGTACAGCATCAACTATAGTGAATAATAATAATGCATTGTACACTTGACCTTTGCTAAGATCCTAAACGTTCTCACCACACACACAAAGGCAATTACGTAAGGTGATGGATATGTCATTTAGCTTGAGTGTGGTACTCATTTCACAATATATACACATACCGAAATATCACAAAGTATGTATGTGTCAAAATATTTTATATCATCAATACATGCCATTCTTCTTTGTCAATTATACTTCAATAAAACTAGAGGGAAAAAGTTAATAGTATTTTCTAAGCCCAATGGATCTTAATGTACTTATGCCTTTAATTCTCTCAAACCCCTTAGCATGATAAAGCAATTTTGCTTTTACTTTTCCTAAAGAAGGGTACTATGGTGGAGCTTTATTCTAAGGAAGAAATAGAATTTCTTCACTTCTTTGATAAAAGATATTGTTAATAGGTCAACACCCTTTCCTGGGGGGGCTCAATGAATCCCTTGTACTCTATATGCTGAGGCTTCAGCGTGAGTTAGTAAGTACAGAACTGTGAGGTCTGAAGGCCTGGGTTCTAGCTAGTTATACATCTAGACAGCAGTATCAACAAGGACAGTCAATTAACACTTCCTTTCTCTGTGTATCCTCATTCATCTTCAAAAGGGAATGACGAGGTAGACTCCTTCGTATCTAAGGTATCTTCCACTTCTGACATTCTCAGAGGCTACCACATGGCCTCTGGCCTAGTGTGAATACTATAATTCAGACCCCATTTGTTCATCTCCAAGGGAGTCTTAACCAGAATCATAAACACAGCAATGATAAAGTCATTCAACACAGTCGAAATACAACATTCTGACAAGGAAGAGAGAGCAATGGGTTGGCAGAGCTAGAGGGGTGATTGGCCAGTCAGGTGGGGCCTAACCACTCTTAGTGAATGAGTGATAATGTGTGGCAATATTATTTTTTTTAATTGTTAGAGGGTGATGACAAGGCTGCTCAGAGCCCCAAAGTAAGTTTTCTAGCAAATAAGACAGAAGGTGTATGGTTTTCTATTTGTACCTTTGGAAGTCAGCTGATGTCACAGCATGCTCTATTTTTAAGAGAGACTTTTCCTATACAGCACATGCCCTCACTGGAAAGACAGAGAGACAGAGAGAGAGAGAGATCACCCCCTAAGGGGGGATGGCCATACCACAGTTCCTTCTATTTCATTTTCCTCTTGGGATCTTGGGCACGCATGCACACGTACCCAACGTGAGTTTAATCTGCCGGGTCCAGGACTCAAACCACAGTTGACTACATTGGAGTCCAGTGACATAACCGATATACCATCTGCTAGCCCCAAATGTCACAGCATATTCTACTGATTGAGAAAGTCTCAAGTCCTCACAGATTCTGCACTTTAATGGGTGGAGTGTCAAAGAATTTGAGGTCATGTTTTACAACACCACTAGGGACTTTCTTTAGTTTAGTTCATGGTTATATGCAACATGTGGCTAGTTTCATCCCTTAGTCATTATTTAGTGTCATTCTGATTCCTATTTATTTCTTGTCTATATCAACTGAGTAGATGCTACCTGTGAGAATATTATTGCAAGCGCCTTCTTTTCATGCTTCCCCAAGTGTATGGGTAATCTGGCCACCTCCTGAAACTAAGCTAAGCTCTGATTTTTTCTACAAATTTACCAAAGTACAGTTGATCCCATGACTTCCAACGCCTTGGCTTGAGACCCTTTCTCTTACACTTGTCTTTGACATATATAATTCCTAATGGCTTTAGCTAACAATAACGAGAGGCATGATCAACCAGGCAATGTACAGGGGTAAGAAAATTGGCTAATTCACATAGTAGAGACATACATTTGTCTCTGGATCAAACAATGATTTTGGCTATGACATTTTTCTACCTTAGAAACAAAAATGACTGGTAAAGCATCTGACTTTAGAAGAAGGCTGGAAGCTGTGAACCATGTCTGACTTTCAGGAGTAGCTTGTAAGTTAGACTTCATCATCTTTCTTTTTTGCTGTGGTTGTTCTTGGTTTTTATCATAAGTGTGTGTGCTCACCAGAGAGAGACAAAGAGAGGAAAAGTGAGAAATAACCTCCCCATCCTCCAGGGGAGATTGCCACACCACAATCCCTTCTCCTCCATTCTCCTGGAGTTCTGGGCACACATGTACACACACCAGTGTGATTTTTAAGCTACTGAGTTCAAGACTTGAACTGCAGCTGGCATGTGGGAGTCCAGCACCTTAACTACAACACTTGCTAGTCCCTGGACTTTACCAACATTTTTGAACCAGTTAGATTGTGTTTTGGTGGTTGCCTATACCCAGTCCATAATGAAAGCTCTCTTTTTCTGAAGGATCAGATCAATCACAGCCTGAACTGTTGATCTATGTATTCAATGAATAATTATTGAGCACCATCCATGGGTGAGGTAATAATGTTCTATGCTGTTCCAGAGCATAATGATGAATAAAACATAGCCTGTAGGGCCAACAGGTGGCATGGAGGCTAAGGCAGCTGGATCCCACATGGCTGATTTCATGGTTCCTGAGTCCCAGACCCTGCAACAACTTAAAAATCATGCTGGGTGCATGTGCATACATGCCCAAAATTCTGAGAGGAAAATGGAAGAGAAGGAACTGTGGCATGGTCATGCCCCCTGGGGGGGGTGTGATTTCTCACTTTCCCTCTCTCTTTCTCTTTCTCCTGTCTCTGGTGAGTGTATGCACCCTAAAGCAAAAACTAAAAATCAAAACAAAACAAAACACACAGCCTCTGACCTGCGTGTAGAGAAGGAGACAAAGAGAAACAAATTAGCAAAAACCAAAATACAGAGAGCCTTAATTAAGTACAATGACAAGGGAAGATTGGGGCTAAGGGAGCCCAAGAAAAAACAACTACAGACAAACTTGTTTCACTCCTGGTCTCATGCCTTAATGTGACTGCAAGATTCTTGCATGTAGGGATGATGTTTTATGTGTCTACATATCCCCAAGTACCCAGCTCTGTCACATGTCTGCAGAAACTCATCACTAAACATTTGTTAGTGGTTTGACTGATAAATACTAACATGAAATGAGGTTGTGGAAGTGCAAGGTATGTTTGCATTATTTCTTTCTCTCATGAAAGTTCTTGCCTATTGATACACTAAAACATCACCACTATCATATAAGAATGTCCTATATACCTTTTTCTAAAAAAAAACCAAACCTGCCAGAGGGTGCATTCATTCACCAGAGAGACAGAGAGAGAGGGGAAATTACTGTCCCAATGGGGCATGTCACATTACAATCTGGTCTCCATTTCTCCATCATGTCAGGATTTAGGACATCAATATGCTAGATGCAGGATTTGAACCAGAGTGAGCCATATGGGATCCTGCTCTCTTAACCACTAGGCTACTGGCTGGCCCCTGCGTACTATCTTACGCTTGCTAAATATATGAGTAGGAGAAACAACAGGGCTTTGATTCCTTGGTGTGCAAGTGCCCTATGGTGGTAATTCTTTTTGCTAACTGATGGTGTAATGGGATAAGAGGGAGTTTGGTTCTGCAACTTAACAACTGTTACTTAATCTCATGGGGCCCCTGATTCTACAACCTGGAACAAGATCAGTGTTCCCTTCCACTTCACCCAGTTAGCACTTTTTTTTTTTTTTTTTTGAGAGGTTTTTGCTAAAGGGCGCATGTGCTCACCAGAAAGACAAAGAGAGACAAGAGACAGAAAGCGAGAAATCACCCTCCCAGGGGGGATGGCCACACCACAATCCCTTCTCCTCCATTCTCCTCTCAGGATCTTGGGCAAGCATACACACACACCCAGCATTAGTTTAAGCCACCAGGTCCGAGACTTCAACCACAGTCGACTACATAGGAGTCCAGCGACATAGCCATTACGCCAACTGCTGGTCCCCAGTAGACACATTTTTGTCTTATGACCAATTTGGGTGCAGGAGAAGATGTAGCACCCACACAATTTATAATGGCATGGCTTCTCCCTGAGTGTCTGTCATTCTACAGTGTATTTCCAATACTTATAGGAATTTAGTCTCAGTGAATTTTTTTCCCTCAAAAACCAAACAGTGCGATAATGAACCACTTTTTTGCATTTCCTATCAAGACAGCTATTTGTGAGTTCTAAATGTTCTGTCTAGATTCAAAGAAGCTGGTTTCTCCATGAGTGGCTGGAATAAGACTTTTCTTGGAAGCTACTGAATATGGAGCAGTTGGATTGTTTTGCAGGAAATAAAAAGCAGGCTCTGGAGTGACTACTTCAGCACGTAATTGGGTTAGCAGAGAACTGCAAATGAGAGGTTTTCCTTAGGAGGGAAAGGATGTTTAAAGCTCCCTCCCCCTTAGGTGGTAGATTTTAACCTAAATGCTAATCTTCAAATGTAGCCTTTAATTTAGAAACCATTATAAGAATCTATTAGAACAGAAAATATCAGGTTGAAAAATTAACACATCACAGGAGTTCATTAGAACCCAGACTCTCCTTAGATGCAGAGAGCTCTCCAACAGCCCAATAGCCCATTGTAGTCAGGTTAGAGAGAGCCCCAAAGTGGCTGCATCTTTCTACTCAGGCTAGACCGGGCCCAGGCACTCAGGACAGAGCAGGTAGGGGCCCACAGCCTGCCTTTCAGTAACTGGAGGTCCTATTCATGTGTCCTTACCTTTTCTTCTCAGAAAACTATGCATGTCACAGGTTGATGTCCCTCTGCCTGGATCTCCCTCAGGGAAGTGTTTTCTGTAACAAAGACAAACATGCCATGCCTGTCACCAGGGGCAGATTGTCTACTGAGTAAACCACTCCATGAGAGGGAGGCTGAGGGGCCACTCAGCCTCAGCTCTAAGTCATGGTCTTTGTTTGCTTTCCACAGTCAGACTGAAATGTGATTCCCCTGGCTTTCTTTTTGGGAAAATACCTGCATAAGTTCCATGCCTAGAAAGAAAAGCTGTTGACAGGAAAAGCTTCTGATGGGGAAGGGCTTCTTCAAGTGTTCTCAAAGGAGACAGTTGCTTCAAGCAAGCTGAGGCAGGGATGCCAGACCTAGGAATAAGAAGTCCAGATCACAAAAGGGTCATCTTTAACTATGGATTTGACCAGGTGTTAAGCAGTTTCCTCCGTGAGCATGTCACAATGGACACAGTTTAGGGCCAGGCGGAGATGTGTCTGAGTCCATCTCCAGCACTTACGGCATGATCTTAGCCAAACCACTTTACCTCTCAGAAGAGCCGTTTTTCCAAGTTGTAAGAAATAAAGAACATAAGGCAGGTAGCACAGTGTCTAGCTCCGAGACAGGCTTCAGGATGAGTCGTCTGTCATGGCTTTAATAAGTATTCCCAGCCAGCTCAATAGCACAGTGATCATGGGCTCCAAGAGAAGCCAGGGCCCACATGGGGACTGCAGTTTGAATCTCTGGGCTGGTCAGCCTAAAACATACTGGGCATGGGTGGAAGTATCCAAGATCCAATGAAGGAGAGAGTTGGAGGGAGAAGGCAGCATGAGCAGACTCTGCAACAGGCGCTCATGTCTTTCACATGTGCATGCGTATGCTCGATCGTAAGAAAACAAAATTAAATAAATAAATAAAAGAATATTCCTTCACGTGGCACTACTGATGTTCCTTCTGCATGGCGAGGGCCAGTCCTCCTCCCCTTGTCGCCCTCATGGAGCCCACTGTGTAAACTGAGTACACGCGTCTTCAGCACAGGTCATGTCCCTTCCCTACCCCAGAGGTGTACTAGAAGTGCCAACTGCATACCAGCTCCACTGTGCTGAGTAATCCTCCAAAGTCAGCTACCTCTACCTTCACCTCGCCCACAATTCTTCATCTGTGCACTGACCACACTGAGTTACTGTTGTTTATTCTTTGTGCCCTCGTGTAAGGTCCTAGAGGTGAAGAACATTTTGCTCATTTGATGTATTAAATTAGTCATGGCATATTTTTCTATGCAAAGATGTATCATGACTTTCCCAACGACCCTATATTTCTCTAATTATTTAATAATATGTTTCCCAAATTATTTATTTAATTGCCAGAGGGTGTGTGTGCTCACTACAGAGAGAGATATAAAGCACCCCCAATGGGGCGTGGTCATTCTGCAATCCAATCCAATCTGTTTTTTTTTTTTTTAAGAATTTCTGTCATAGGGTAAGTGCACTTGCAGGTGATGACAGAGAGAGGGCACATGAGAAATTAACCCCTAGGGGTGATGACCACTCTGCAATCCCTTCTCCTCCATTCTCCTCTGGGGATTTTGGGCATGCATGTACACACCTGGCATGTTTTTCAAGCTGCTGTGTCCAGGACTCAAATGGCAGAGCTGGCCAGGTGGGATCTAGCACCTTAACTACCACACTACTTGCTGGCCCTGCAATCCTTTTTCTCCATTTCTTCATCCTGTCAGAGTTCAGGGTACATATACATACGTGTTTCGCCTGTTTTTCAAGTCACCAGGGCTGGGATTTGATTTGTGATCAGCCATGTGGAATCTAGCCCCCTCAACCACTAGGCTATGGTCAGGCCCCTGTAGCTCAAATAATTAATAGCTCATTTGATCTGTTCATTCTTTCTACAGACCAATGGTCTTGGGCATGAATCAGCACAGGACAGTGAAGATTCAACTCTTTAGGTAGGTTGCTTTCGGGCTGGGAACTTTTTCTGAGGAAATAACCTTACTCCTTGGATCCTGGTTTGGTAGGTCCTGTCATTTTCCAACTACTACTCTGGTTCTAGCCTGTTTCCTAATTTCTTTAAAGGCCCTCCTTCCTGGAGAGGGACTGCAGGAGGAGGACTGCAGACAATGCAGGTTCTATGTACCCAGCACAGCCATAGGCACAGAGCCAAATACCCAAAAAAGTTGATTCCATTCTTGCCCTCAGCCAAGTCTAGTTGCCAGTATAAGAAAAGAAAACTAAAAATACAAGAGAGAATACAGCACCTCAAGAGCTACAGACATCCTTCCAAAGTCCATCTGACCCCTGCCATGTGCCACAGAATTGGCTAAATGGGAAGGCACAAACACATATAAACAGCCCCAAGAACCAAAGGCTCTCCGGAAGAGGGTAGAAAGCTCTTTACCCAGATGCTCAGACCTGGGCTGCAGGTAAGATCAGGTGGGAAAGCTAGAGACTCTCCCATGACTGACTTCCCCTAGTTGTCCCAGAAAAGAAAAGAAAAAGAACAGCAGCAGCCCAGTTATTCAGTACTCGCTATGTGCCAGACCCTGTGCTGTAGTAAATGATTTGCAGGCGCTATCCCATTTACCTCTGTGTGCAGCAGGCATGAAGTCCCTATGTTTCGGGTGGCCAATGTGAGGCTCACGGAGACACAGTGGCTCAACCACAATCAGGCAACGAGTAAACGGTCAGGAATCCACCTGCTGGGGGGCGGGGGGTGGATTCACTGGCCAACTGGAAAGCAGAGAAGGTCAGCGCAGAGAAACTCCCTTGCGGTGTGGAAGTGAAAGACAGGAAAGTTGTACAAAAATTTATATGGCATGAGCTCCAGATCTCCAGGACCCTACGGAGAAGCAGAATAAGAAAGAAAGGGATGTCGGCTACAGGGAAGGGGTGGCGGAGGCTGGAGGAAGGGAATCCTGCTGTCTGTGCGCCTGCCTCACCCCTAGTGCACAGGTCAGGCCTCTCCCCTCCCGCCCTCTCACCCTCCCAACCTTATTTAGAAACCGTGTCCCCGAGACAGGAAGGGCGGCGGGCCGAGAAGCACGGAGCGTCCCGGTCTCATTTCCTTTCGAACCCCCCTGTGGAATTTCATTTCATACGGTGAGGAAATCGGAGCGCAAGACCATCGGCTGGTCTGCTGCTCCGGGCGCCTCCCCCACTCCGGCTGGAGACAGGCAGCTCCCGGGCGCAGGTCTGGCCGGGTCTGGGGGCGGGGAGTGGGGAGCCAGGCCGACCCGAGCGAGTTAGGAGTGAAAACAGCAGCGCAGTCGCGCAGTACCAGGCACCGGCTGAGCGCTTTATGCTTTATCGCTAATCCTCCCGTCACTTTACGGGTGAGGAAACTGACGCCTACAGGCTGGGCGATTGGCTCAAGGTCACCCGGCCGGGATTTGAAGCCACAATCTGTGTAAATCCAAATCCCGTGCTCTTTGTGTACAAGTCTCTGCCTTATGGAGAGGTGGCCACGGGCCGAGATGACAACTGGGAGAAGGAAAGAAAAGGGGGCAGAGTGACCAGGGAGCACTTCTCACCTGGGAAAGGAGGGGGCAGGTTGGCCCAGCCTGAGCGACTTCGCTCCATCCCCGCCTTGCCCCGGCGCGCCTGGATCAGGGTGGGAGGAAAGTGAGCGCCGGGAAGCGGGGCGGGGCGGGGCGGGGTGCCCCGGAGAGGGAAGGAGGGAGGGAGGGAGGAGGGCCGGCGGGCGGGGGGCCTGACCCT